CCTAAAATTAGTTCAGCATATAGGATTGTAGTTAAATAGATGTGTGTCTTAAAAAAAACAAAAAACCTCTAGCACTGAATTTTGTTTTTATTGTATTTTTTAAAAAATTCAAATTACATATGGTTCCATGATAGGATGTTTCAGAAAATCATAAAGTGTTTTTTGCCTGTAAAACCGATGTCCTTTCTTGTTAATGCCAAGAAAACTTTTCCCAAAACACTCATTCCCTGCTCAAGACACTGTAGCCGCTAATGAGGAAAACACTGCAAGTACCTCATTGAAATGTTTTCCTTTGTTTATCTACTGGGAGTTTCCTCTGTAATAGGAAAAGAATCCCTGAGTATCAATGAGTCTGAAAGTGCTCATATTCTGCCAAGAATAAAGTTGTAAAGCTTTGTGTGCCAGTACTTTAAATTAATCTAAAATAATGCAAAGGGGAATTTGTCATCTTGGAAGACTTTTTTACAGCCCCGTCACTATTGTCTCAATTAATCAGAGTGTTCCATATCATTGACATGACTTCTCTCCTCTGTAGCCAATTATGACACCAATGGATGACACATCTCTAAGGATATACATGGAAGCAGATAGAAAATCAAAATGTGACAAATATATGATTGCACTTGACTCTCTGCAGTATGATGATGTCTTCCAAAGCCCATGAGCTACCTGGCAGTTCCCTTCCAGAGCAACCCCATTGGGTCCATTAGGTCCTTTACTTCAGTGTGCAAATTAAAAGCACAATATTTCATTCAGTTCTGCAGCCCTGGGCCCTTTAACTTCAATGGGAATCAGGGCTGGCATCACAGTTGCCTGATATCTCCCAAGGCCTATGACCTTGCGGGAGGTGCACACCTAAGCTCAGTGCTGCCTTGCTGCTACTGTTCTTTCTTACCGTCACTTCCTGTACACTTGCCCTTTTTCAGCATGCAAGCAGTAATGAAATAGAGAAGGTGGAACTGCATCCTGCACCTGCCCCACAGTTTCTAGGTAGATTGAGCTCAGAAGGAATGCTCAGAAGTGCATGAGAAGCAATTAGAATTAGGAGGTACACCCACTCAGGGAGGAGAGATCATGGGAAACATCTTTCCTAGAGAAACTCTGAAAGTTGGCATTGCTACCAGTGGAAATAATATAGCTTTCTTGATTACCTATTTTAGGCCCTTCCAGATTCTGGCCTTGTTCAATAACATGAAGGTCCACTGTACAATCCTGTTGCACTTGTGTCAGATGCTAGCACATTGCTAATGTCAGAAGTGTATGAGCATCCAGTGCAAGACACATGGCGGGGAAATCTGTGCTGCCACCTTGCCTTACTTTCTGCATTTTACCTAGATGGCTGACCTCAGCCATCTAGACTTAGGGTCAGCAAAAGGGAGGCAAGGTTTCCAGGCCGTGATTGTAATCAGCACAACTGTGCAGTACCAACATCTTCCTCTCTGCACTCCCCAGTGAGAGGGCAGGACAGGGGAAACAGCCATCAGAGTGCAAACACTGAGGTCAGAGGGCCTCGGTGCTCAGACTCCAAAGATCCTATCATCTACCAGACAATGTTTGGATTCTGTAGAGTTACACCATAATCTGTCCATGGGGTCTGTTGCAATGTGCCAGGTGACCATGGGCACCATTTTTGTGAGGATTGCTGTGGCTTGTTGTTTAATGCAAACCCAGGATGAAGGGGTTGTTTGAGTGTTAGGCAAGTCACAAATTATCCTAAAAGCATTTATTTGCGGGTTCTCTAACCATCACACAACCACTGCTGCCTGGATCTGCCTGGCGTAACAAACCACATGAAGGTGGGTACCCATGGGCATTCAAGAAAATGCAACAGCTCCCATGGGCAAATTGAGCCTTAGTGGCTGTGTTGTTGTGTGAAAAGGGTAATGTCTCAGTTCAGTGGGTCCAAAAGAGCACACCAAAGGAAACCATTTTGTTTGAGATCAATATAAAGTTTTGGTTTGATATGCTGCGTATATCACGACCCAAGCTGGGTCATTCCAAGAACCCATCTAATCCAGCATTCTGTTCACATAGTAGTGCATGGGAACCCATAAACAGGACTTGTGCAGCAGTACCCCTCTGTCCCAATTCCCCAGCAACTAGCATATATAGGCATACTGCCTCTTACATGCACTATCTGGCATTTGGCCACCAGATAGCCACGGATACAGTTCTCCTCCATGAATTTGTTCAATTCACTATTAAAGCCATCCAAATTGGAGGCCATCACTACATCTTCTGGATAGTTTTAAATAGCACTATGTGAAGAAGTTTTTCCTTTTACCTGTCCTGAAAATTCCAACGATCAGCTTCATGAGATGACTCCAGGTTCTAGTATTATTGCAGGGATCAGAGATCTCCCTTTCCACTTGCTCCACATCATGCATAGATCTGTACACGCAATCCTATCACCCCCTAACTCACCCTTGTGCTAAGCTAAACAGTCTCCATTGCTGTAAGCTTTCCTTACAGCCTCTTGTTCATATTTCAGTTGCCATTTTCTGCACTTTTTCAAATCTACAATATCCCTTTTTGAGATGCAGTATACACAGTATTCTTCCTGGTGCCTTTAAGCTGTAACAGCAATGTTCTCTGTTAAGTACCCTCTTAGCTCAGCCTAACACAATACAAAGTTTGTGATTATTGGAGGGGCAGATTCATCTAGGTTTCATCCCAGCCCTAGCCACATGTACTGATAACCCTACATGTGCTGAGAAGTTTACTATTAGACTACGGCATTGCACTCTGCGTGGGGCTGCCCAAGGGCCTAGTTCAGAAGCTGCAACCAGTCCAGAATGCACCAACTGGCCGCTCACTGCAAAACTCAGCTTTGCTCACGTAACTTCTGTGTTAAAAGGCAGTGGCTGCCTATTAGCTACTGAACCATATTCAAGTTTATGTTATCGTCAAAAACTAACAACGTGGGACGAGGATACCTAGCAAACCAGTTTCCCATATACAGTAGTCCCCTGAAATTCACGAGGGTTGCGTTCACGTGCGAATTGTGAAAAACCGCAAATTTTGAATGTGGTAAAGGTTCATTGCCAGAACCCTTAGAACAGGGGGCCAGCTGAAAGGTGCCGGCGATGGGAGCGGGTCGCTAAGGCGGTGTGTGCGGCGGGGGGTGTGGGCCGGGGGGGGCGGGCGGTGTGCACAGTGAGGCAGGGGCAGGGGCATACACAGAGATCATTTTCTCCGAGCGAGTCCAAACCGATCTCCTTGCAAGCCAAGGAGATCGGTTTGGACACACTCGGGGAAAACGGTCTCCTTGCGAGCAAGCTGCTGCACGGAAAATTCCATGAAAGACTGAGGCCCCAAATGCTGAACTGCGACTTCACGGGGTATACTGTATATTTAGCCAACTGCATCATAGTGCCAGAAGAGGCTTGCTGGCAATTCCAAATCCAATAGAATGTCACCATGGAAAAGTTTAGCAGAAGGCCTGCTCAGTGGTAGCACCATCCTCTGCAGAATCCTTGCCCGTGCAGTTCAGGAGGCACAAAAGGTGTCAAACGCCTTGTTCATGCAGGCATTCCCCGGCCTGTAAATGAGTATAATTAATCATGCTAATCCATTTTACTGCTTCTTGTATTGTAACATACTGTTATTGTAATTGTATTTTAATAATGTATTTTAAATGTGATTTTAATATTTCTACATGAACCGCTTAGGGATTTTATTATAGGAAGTGCTATAGAAACATCACAAATAAGTAAAAAATCATACATATATACATACATAAAATCTTGTGGATATCTTCTTTTCTTTAAAGTAATTTTTGAAGTATATAAATAAAATATCCCTGGAGTCCAAGGTTTTTTTTTTTCTTTTCTCTAAATTTTATTCACTTTAGTCAAAATTCTGAACTAACCTTTCCTCGTGAGACATAACATTAAGCAAAACTGAGAAGGAAAGATGAAAAAAAGGAAGAAAAACATATTATCGTTCCCGTGAAATATGCTTTTTAAAATAGTGTATTCCTCTAAAGCCAAGTTGCTATGTTTTGTTATAAATACGTGAAATTACCAGATTGCCCTGGATTTCTTTTTCTTTTCTTTTTTAGACAGGGAGTCACTGCATCATTAAGCATTGAATGAATATAATGTAACTATTGAAACTGTTTAAAATATTTCCTAACCATAAATTATTATCCAAAAATATTTTTCAAGCAGATAAAAAGAGTTGTCAATTCTGCATAGTGAATGCCTCATAAGGGGCTCATTTATGGTTGAAAACTGAATAAAAGCAGTAAATTAGGAACAGACGTAACCATAGAGAAGCTGTAATCCACTGCAGATTTCCTTGGTGAATGAAGTATTGTTGTGTGGATTTATCCTCCTTGCTTGTACAGTTAACCAGTCACATCTGTGGCTGGAGTGCTCTCTGCACACACAGGCAAGTTTGATTCAGTAATCCCTCCCCCCTCCAGTCCCCAGCCACAATGGAATACGCACATGTTGGTTAGCTAAAAGGCTCCATAAAGTGCCCGTCTGTTTCCCCGGACCAGGCTGTGCTGAAGGGCAGAGACAATATTGGAGCTCCGTGTCTGTGAACTGTGAACAGAAGGGAACAACAGCAGGTTCCATGTTGGTCTGGAGTAGGCCTTGTTTACCCCACATTGCCATGTGCCGCTTGTTCTGCCTCCGTATTTACAGGCAGGATGCTTCATGAATTAGAAGTATTCAGGACAGGAAGGGAGGCACTTATCATAAATATTCATTTACTGCAATGCAAATACTTAGCTTTATAGGAATGTAAACTCTAGCAGGTTTGTTAGATTCACTGCCTACCTTCCTCTCTTTCGCAGTGTTTGCTGCTAGTACACGCAATAAGTACTTGAAGACAGGAGGAGGATGTGACAGGGAGTCAATGTTGCCTTATTGTTCTCTGTTTAAGTGCCATGATTACATGCCCAATCAACTATCCATCCTGAACGAGCTGCGAGAAATACTGCACATACAAACATTCTTTATATTTCTCTCTCCCCTGAATTCTTGCAGGACTCCACTGCATTGCAACATGATTAGACATTTGCATCCAGGGCAGCGGAAGGATTGCATGGGCCCAGTGCCATCTTACTAACACCGAACAAGAAGGAAAATGTAAGTTTTTTTGCCCATCAAGAACTGCTTCAAATGATGACACTTTTGCTTTTATTTCATTGTTGCTACATAGCATTTTGTATTTAAGATGCGTAGGCCTCCATCACCATGATTTTCAGATGCTCTAATATTGACTGACCCGCTAGTCATTTCTCACACGCAGGACAGGTTCCTGTTATACGATGTGCCCCTTGCACAAAGGCCAACTTGCTATACATGAAGTCAAGGTTCAGTCCTGCACTCAGCAGTGGCTGTGGTGCGGCTAAGCACATGCAAATCTGCACCACACAGCTTCCTAGAGGCCAGCTGATGTTCTGGAAGAATATACACACATGCACAAGCCAAAAGTATGAAATAGTTGTCACTGCTGGGTGGTTGTATATTCTTGCAAAACACTGATAAAGGAACGTGGAATCTAAAAATGTTGTATCGAATTGAAAACTAGGATAGGCGGAGACTATTATAATAGTAGTTTGATTGCCAGCCATAACTGAAGTGGTGTGTGTGTATACATACATACATACATATATATATAGAGAGAGAGAGAGGGAGAGGGACAGAGAGAGAATGTGTGTGCACAGATAGTTTCTACACATCACTCACATACATTCTGTGTATAGGTTGAATGGAAAGGGAGCTTTATCAAAACATACAATGTTACTAATACGTGAATTATTGATTTGTTTGGTTAAAGGTCTCACTGATCTCATTGCTAAAGCCTGGGGCAGTATAAACACAAGAAATCAGACTAAAATAAGTCAAATAAATTACCTTGTTACCTTCAAATCAGATACTTTAATTTGTGCTCATCCAGCAGTTGCAAGGCAAGAGTAAAACCCTGTATCATGCTTTATTTGACCACAGGTCAATTTCCCCATTTTTCTTGGACAAGCTCTTACCCCCTAGCCACCCACAGCAGAAGACAATATACGTAGTCTCCTCATTTGTTCTACATTTGCCCCTTGTCTAGGCTCATAGGGTACTGACCCTTTTATTCTTGGAAACAATGTTTTTTATTACAAGGTAACTTGTTCCTTGTCTTTCTCTTACAATATATCCATAGACATGAATTTTGTCTCATGAGGTCTTCTTCTCAATGGAAAATTGTTTAAAACCTATGTCAAGCATGTGAAATCCCTTTGAATGCATATGGCGGACACTTATATATACCTCTTTTTAATGAAAAAAGAGGACAAAGGGGGCATCAAATGGACATATGCAAATACATATGTTTAGATAAATATTCATAGATAATTACTATAATTTGAATAGAAATAAAATGGGCAGCTGTCCTAGGGGCCTGCTCAGTCTTCTGTGTAGTTGATGGGCAACTTCAAGTTCCTTGCTTGCCCTTTTTAAGGGTCTTTATGTTTTGAACAGAGCAGCTCTACATACAGAGGTGACATTCAAAATAGAGAACTGCCTTCTGACAGCACTTCAGATAGACTATCCTCTATAAAATAAGACATATTGCCACTTTAGGAACACATGAAACAATGAGTGCTAGGTAAAGACACTGAATTGTTTCTAATATATAGTTGTAATAAGAGCTTTGTTATCTTGAAAGCCTTTCTGTCAGCAGCTTTCTGTCACACAAAAATAAATCCCATGATTAAGACTGAAAGAGACCAGTTTTGACCCATTGGCTGCTTATATGTTTCAGAGCTAGACTGGTGGTGCTGGTTTTATTCTGTAAAGACTGGCATGGCATGAGGCAGCAAAATTTGATGGAGTGCCTCTCTTGGCCACCATCCACCTAGGCACGACATCTGAAGCCTTCCTCGGAATGACACCTCTAAGGAATGCTTGGACAGTGGCAACAAGGGAGACAGCCTTCTCAGTGGTGACCCATGACTGTGGAATGACCTCCCTACTGAGGTCACCTGCCACCAACTTTGCTATACTTTCAGCACTAGGCCTTCCATGCCAGATCATTTAAAGACATGAAGGATATGTCCTATGTCCGAGGCTATATAGCAAGGGGACGGCATACCAAAACTTTAAATAAATAAATACATATTTTATGGCTGTCTGGTGACACCAATGTCAGGTTTTCTCAGGCGTAATCTGTATCATAAATAATCTTAACTATTAGATTGCTTTATGATGATGAGGTTTATAAAGTCTTTTTAAAATGTTGTATTTTTAAAAATAAAAAGATGTTTGAGTATATTGTGATCTTGTTTTAGGAACTTTTGTACAATACAATACAATAATTCTTTATTTGGTCATTGACCAGCAAAAGAAACTTTTGTAAATTACCAAGAATGGATAGTATAAAAAGAAAATGAAATAGATAGATAAATAGACAGAGCAAGCATTAATCAGAATATTCTTTTAAAAAGCATCTTATCATATCATAGTAAGTATGAAAATCTCTCCCAAACCAACAAGCTGCTATGGAAACATAATTAGAGTTGGCAAGTGATGCTGTGTTTCACAGAGTGCAACTTTTTGCTGGAAAGTTTAGAGGTTCATTTACTGCAGTGCATCAAATACGTAAAGATGATAGGTGAAAGGCTTTTTGTGAAAGTGCTGGAAAATAATTTAAAAAGGTCAGATTACTCTGAGGAAAAAAAAGAGCATGTATTTAGTAAGCACCTTGTTTTGGGGAAAATGTTGCATTTTTAAAGGTTAACAACAAGTCTAAATAGCCAGTAGTGTCAGTGAGAATTAAATCACTGGTCCTGTTTTAAAACTGCTACTGCAATGTTGCACATTTATTTTCAAATTCAAGGCATTTATTAGCATCCCTGTAATATATCACTGGAGTAGTTCCATCGGGAAGTGTGAGGATTTGAATGGAGAGGATTCAGTTCCTATCAATTTATTCATATTTAACTGATTTATGTATCTGGTAGTGAAAGGTTCACATGCATTTCTGAAATCTTTTATTAGGTTAAGCTTGGTTGCCTAGCATTCAGTGGAACTTCTCCATGAAGAATTATGCTACAAATCTATGCACACTTAGGCTTGGGAATAAGTCCTCCTGAACATAGTGGGTCTCATCTCCAAGGATTGAGCTGTACCGATCTATTTTGTTTTTTATCCTCCTAGCAGTGCCCGAGCAATTGATATAAGAAACAATACAGACAGCATCTTCCCACCCCTCACCCCCCCACTCTCCAGCTGTTCACAATATCTTGCTTTGTACATAAACTATAGTCTGGTAGAAGATGCCAATCATCTGTATAAATGAAAGGGGGAGGCAACTATTGATTTATATTTTCTTTAAAGAGAAAAAATGCTTTGTTGGTAAAAATGGATTATAAATCTGATATGTAGACAAATGCAAAATAACACTATTAGAGATAAATGTAGAAGTCCACCCACTCACAGAGGATATGTATTTAGTGATTTGAAGAAAGAGATACCTTACCTAATAAAATACTTGAATTGCTAAAATATCCTTGCCTACAGCAGATCAATATATAACCAATAAGCATGTTTTGTGCTGAAAAGTCTATTCCCTCCCTTCCAAGAACTGTTTCAAATTGGTATTCATTTTCTCTGAGTCACACTCCCTACTTTTTGATTATGTAACTGCAAAATCTTTAAACAACATGGCGGAAAGAAATATTTCTAACCTATTCATTGCTAATAAGATGTTACGGTTACCCTCTTTTCCATGGTCTTATAGATTGCAAGCCTGAGAGGAGATATTTTTGTTAATCATAAGCTGCTCTGATTGAAACATTATTATTTTTCTAGTAGTATCTGTAATGGAAATAAATGAGCCCGTGTTTGATATGTTTTTAAAACAAATAAAGTGCATTTTTCTTCTGCGGCACAACATGAACTTTTTAGTAATTTGTCTAAGAAGAACATTGTACCGTAAGACTTGAAGGTGACAGTGAATGGTTTCAAAGAAACACCTTACTTTTGTTTCAGCAGAATAATTATCTCCCATTTATCTCCCATAAAGTCATCTTTAATTTGCCTTGCTTTCCATTTGAAATGGGGGCAAAATCTATTTCCCAGACAATTTTGCATAGCAAAGATATTAATACTGTGGGGTTTAATTGTATCCTGTGTTTAAATACACTGTGGGTGAAACCCTAGACCTCTGCTTAATTGCTGTGAGAAAATAGCCTGATTTCTCTGAGATTAGGCACACGCTTATGTATACTTTGACCGAAGAGTGCCTCCTTCGGAATTAATCTTCTAAGGTAGTGGGATTTACTATTGTACGTGCTGTGGACCCATTCATGACAAACGGTGCCTAATCAACTAACTTCACCCTCTAGACCTTTCTTTGGCTGTTGGAGTTTTCCTTCAACTATTCATTTCACAGATCCCTTGTCCGGTTGCTTATTAGCAAATCAGCCTCAGAGGAGGCAATAGGAGTAAACTTAATGATTCCTTTTTAATTAAAGAGGTTTACGCTTTAAGTAACATCCTACCGAACTGGAAATGAACAGAATGTCCATTAGAGCTGTCTAATGCACGCTAAGAAATGATCCATTCAGTCCATTCAGGGATATTCATCCATTATTTAAAACTATCTGCTGTAGACCTATTTTAGTTGATTCATCTAATCCATGAGGCATGCTTCCATCTGCTCTATCAGAACTGTTTCTTTAAGTTATAACAAAATGTTCTGCCTTTCAAATATTTATATTCATCAACGCTCACTTTGTTTATATTTTTGCAATAGAACTTCTTTTAAAAATGGGCTCCTCCACTTAACTAAACACAATGTGTCAAAATGGACTCTCTTATAAATACCAGTGAAGTACATTTGGCAATTGGAAGGAGTATAGAATCAACATGCAATCCACACACGAGTGACTGATCATCACTCCACATCTGTAGTCTCCTTTGACTTCCCTTTCTCTGGAAAAAGGTTTGTAGAATTCTGTGTAAATGCCTTTGGCTGGTCCCGTGGCCATAAATGGAAATAATCACATGAACAGACTCAAAAGGGGAACATGCTGAATAGTAGAACTTCAGCTGGAAGACAATAAAGGCTGAATTCTGCAATATCTCAGTGTTCCTGG